ATTTAAAGTCTTATTCCACCCCCAAAATTACCTTCCCATTACCTTGTAATGCAGGAAATGGAATCACATGACTCATTCGTGGTGGCTTACCACTTACCCAAAATGTAATACCCAGTGGCACTGTGTGACTGACACATGACCCAGAAGAAACCATCGAAAGGGACTGGCAGCAGCAATTTCTAACTTTCTTAGCTAGAAATTGAGCCCTTTGAAAAAAATCTCATAAATTATGTGAATTTTTAGCCAGGTATGAAGATACCATAATCCCAGAACTCTGGAAAGGTGGAGCAGGAGGCTCAAGAATTTGAGCCTAGTCTATGCAATTCAACAATACAATAAGACTCTCAATCAATCAATCAAGCAAGCAGTCAATGGCTGGGGATGTAGCTCAGTGCAAAAGCTGTGGATTTAATCCTAATACTGAAAAACTAGATGTGAATTCTTGCTCCACAAAAAAGATCTCCTGCCATATATATTAAATCTACACACATTTCAGGAGATTCACAAACCCATCTTAGAATCCTTCATTTGGCATGAGACAAACGAAGAGCCAAGATGCCTGATCCTCTGTTTACCTGTCCCTGGTCACTGTCGCACCAAAAGATGAGCTTCAACCCACCCGGCAGCTGCCCAGTGTGACTTCACCTTTTGACATTTTTGGCTGCAGCATCATGGACTGACAGCAGAGGGATGCAGTTCTTTTCTAAGCGGTTTCGGAAACCCTGGATCATGAGTGGGGTGAGCCATGACAGTGTGAGGTAGGAGAAGAGGCCAGCATCGTCCAGAGGGTGAGGGGCTGGAGACCTAGCAGGGGGTCACAAAGAAGAAAGATTGGGAAAACACACACACGTGATACCCATGTAAAAACCACAATTTGGTCATCCGGATGTATACAGAAGCATTTTTTCATGACTATTATTTCTAAGTAAAAAGTTAGGGGGGAAAATTAACCATTAACAGAGGAATTATTTAGGACAAAAGAAACTATGCTATGTGCGTGCTATACAATGTAATGTACAAGTTGTTTTTAAAAAAATAGGGTTAATCTATATATAAGATGTAGAAAAAATTTCAGCTGTCTTAGGGAAGAAAAAAAAAAGGCCATGAGCAGATTTTAAAGCTCACAGTTCTTTGTAGAGGACTGTACTATTGATTATGCCCAAAGCAGGCTGTAAAGAGTTAGCCCTGCAATTGGCTTGTTTATAGAAATGTGTCTAGCCAAAGTCTATGTGCCAAGGTCAGAGTAACTCACACCCAAATTCCATTCCCACAACTAAAACATTCAGAGTGAAGGACAATGTTCTAATTACAATCATATATCCTGGGGTTTTTTTTGTTTTTTTTTTTTTGTTTTGGTATCAGTGCTCGAACTCGGGACCTTGGGCTTGCAAGGCAGGTGGCAGCACCACTGTGCTAAATTCCTGGCCCAACTTTCTTCCTAATTTG